CTGTAAAATGCCTAATGTCGATGCACTTGTCGCCCGCATTGACATTTTGCCACACTACGTAGTCGTCCCCTTGTTTGGCAGTATTCCACCACCAACCCCGAGTTTATAGCCTCGGTTATTTCTTTCGCTTTCCTCAAAAAAGTCAAACTGCGATTTTCTGACTTTTCTTCGATCTAGAGCCGATGGTCTGTGCTTTGGAAGGAAAAAATAAGCATTATTTCCCACTTTGTTTATTGACGCATTTCCTTATTGTACATAGAGTTTACATATATACTTTTATTTTCTTTTAATTTTATACTACATTTATAAATTGCTTTATTGTACAGATACAAACAGGCGTTCAAAGTTATGTCATTCGGCCTAGAGCCGATGGGCTATATTTCGAAAAAATAAACATTATTACCTACCTCGTCCATTAATGCATCTCTTTATTTTACTTAGTGTTTACACACATATATTTTTATTTTCCTTAATTTGTTATATTACATTAATAAGTCCCCTTATTATACAGATTCAAACATGCGTTCATACTTACGTTATTTGTCTCTGTTATTGTTCATTAGGGTGTATTTCCATAGCTCCTTTGACATTCACATGCATCACGTTACCGCGCAGTAAATTTTCAGTTGCACTATTCGGCACTTGCCGCTCTTCCTTCCTGTTGGTTATCCGTTCTATTGGTTCCTGACCTGCTTCAAATTTGCAGGTGGCGATTTAAATACCTTTTATTTATTACATAGATGTTTGGCTGATTTTTATTTAGTTGTTTTTTGTATATTTTTCAAGTAACGCTCTCGATCCTGTTGCTATAACTAAACGTATAAGAATTTCAACGAAAATCCATTTATTTCTTTGCTTTATTGCGTTCGTTTCGTTCCTCCTCCGCGGTGATGCCCCACTCGTAAAACCCCTGTTATCATCATTCCCGTATTACACGTGCTTGGGGTTTCTGGTTGCGAGGTGGGGTTGCACAACCTATCGTTGCCGATAGCCATATGCTTTTATATACATCCTTGTGTCTACTAGGCCAGCAATCAACCATCATTTGCTGCTCGAGTTAGCAAATGTCTCGTTCAGGTCCAAGCAACAGCACCTAAATTTATCTCCAGCAAATGGTCCTTATCATCCTTAGGTCTTCGTAAACGGACCTACCCAGTGAACTTCATATCTGTTTACTAACTATGCACGAAACCCACAGCAGCGGATGTCTGTATACCAGTTTGATCGACGAATGTTACGGCCTCCTAGGCATCTTAGACTGAGGCTCTTTGGGTGTCAGGCATCTTCGGTGCGTGGTCTTGATTCTTTTAAGCCGTTCGACAATGGAAGACGGTAGGAGTTTTAACGGTCATTTCTTTAACCGTTGACCTACGCCGCATTAGCTTCAAAAACAGTAACAGCCAGCAAGCCCCACCTGTCTGCCTTCCGGGCAAGACAAGGTCTTCCCTGTTTTCCTTACTAGGGCTCTCAGGTTAGATAAACACAAACCGATCGTAGGGAAACCCGACGAATAAGTCCTATCGCGCTACACAGTGGTAATGTGATGTGTTCTAATCACCCATTTGTAAACTCGGTGGTCAGCAATGACTCCAGGCCAGACTGGTACTATGGAATTGTGAACGTTGCCTGCTGTCGAATGGAGACTTACGCGCCACTCCTGCCTTACAAATCTGTGCCACAGCACAAAGGCTGAATAGAACTGGCAACTTCGTATGCATTAGATTTACTCGACTATCCACGGTAGCCCATAGCACGCGGCACCTGGTTCTGGCCTCATTTTTCGCGGAGTGTCCACCTGTGACCTGAGTGTTGCACATGCAAACTGACACTTTTCCATAAAGTGAAGAACTTGGTGTCAAGATGGTTTGTGTGACAAACTTTACAATTGTTAAGATTTCAAAAGTCAAAATGCCCGCGGCTTTCCCGGACGAGTAGTTGGGTCTGGCGTACTTTCCCTTGTGCCGTTTATTTCACTTACTGACCTCCTAACGTTAACTTCTACCTTTGCCCTTTATCGTCTAGAGCTTAGTTTGGCCCTGCATTCTATCGGCTTCCAACTTACGACACAAATAGTCACAGAATAAGAGCAAAAAGCTCCATTGTCGTAATCGTTGGTAGATATGCGGCCTACCATCGCCTCCCTCCCAGACAAATATTACTGCTTTATGAGAAGTTCGTTAATTTTCAAACCACCCAGCCGGACAACTCGAAGACCTCTTTTTTTGTCAATAAGAGGAGCCGATCTTACATTCCATGTGTCCCTTGGAGGCTTTAGGACCTTGGACTGACATGTTTTTAAACAAAACGGCCTGAACAATACTATTAACTATAGATATTAAAAGAAATTAGAGGCAGTCTAGCCCACGCTAACTTGTCTAAAGCAGCAATCTTATCAGTAGTGCGTAAACAGGCCCCCGTCACAACTTGATCTGTCCGAATTCAAGACCGGAGAAAAAGTATTCACGCGCAGTTCATCAGTTTCAAGAAAATCCGGGTCATCCCATCATTCTTGAGCTCATCACTTGGCCTACCCTACGGATGTTTTTGCATAGAAAATGCCACTCACGGCGCCAGTTTGATAACATTTAGGCTGTCACTTGTACTCTACATCTTTTTTAGGTAATAAAGGATGACTGGACCCGCCCCACAGCCTCAGTCCGCTTTGACTGGCCCCAACCGCCTGTTGCGTCACCCCAATCCCAGGATCAGCTGCCCACTGCCATGTTTATGCACAAACACTCGCACGATCATACCGCCAACCACTTAGTCCATCCACCAAACATGCAGCATCATTAGTGCTTGGCATTACTGTATCAACTCCCGTCTTCTCTCGGCTTGCGACGTCCCCCTGCCTTCCGTTCATTTTTTTCGCAGCCCCAGACTGGCGTCTAGAGTCGCAACGGCCTGACAAACGCATTTGCAACTCCAGAGATTAGTGCCTGAAAGGGATTACCTGGTCGAAGAAAGGCTAGACAGATAAGACTGGGTCACTGTCTGTTTAGTGCTTGCTCGTGCCCTTCTGGATCAACCACATCCCCGACCAACAACTGAAAAAGCCTCGAAACAGCTCTTGTTGCATTCTCCGCCTCTCTACCCCCTTTTTGGCAGTTTACATATTTAGGACTTGGCTTGATCGCTTTTTAACGTTGTACGCAATGGTCTACTTGAAGCTTTTATTGGCAAAATTGGGGTTTACTTGCTCTGGAATGTCCTCCAGAATGACGCGAGCTGTTTTTTGTGGGAGTGTGTGCCTGATCCCCTCGGCGGGTCATCTCTTCGCATTGAACTCGGCTAATATTTCACTTTTATCGGCGTTGTTAGGGACAATCGAATTCTCGAGTGCCTTCCGAAGGCACCGTCTTCGCTAGAAGTCGCCACTGCTAATGGTTTGGAGCTATACTATTCAGCTCATCACAATTATTACGCCATGCTTTCCTGGCCAATTGAAGATGTATACTGCTGGGGACCTTCAATATTTATTATAACGCTGCTTCCTTCGCAAGCATTGCAGTGTCATACGTCATTGTTGTAGTTCGTGAGCCGAAAAATACGCCGGCTTGTAGTTGTTAAGCCTGTGAGAGTTCTTCGGTCTCCCCTACTCTTTTGTTCACGTCTAGACTTGCGGGCTGTCTGGCCAGATTGGTGAGTGCGATCTTTGCAATTCCCCGGTTCTTACTTGTACAGCCTACGTCGATGGCCCCAAATCTTTCCCTCGCAGCTTCGATTTAGGAATTAAGTTACTCTTCCCACTTCGAATTTCGAGGAATGAGAAATGCCGTGGAAAGGAAGGAATGGACTCCTAGTGGTGTTTTTTCGTGCCACAGCACACCGTTGCTTTAAAATGTAACCGTGAGATATGCAGATATTATAATATGGCACCAGCATAAAAAAGGATATTTACGAGATACCATAATTGAGTAGAAGGGAGTTTGCGTCTTGAGACAAGCATGTCGACAAGCGCTTCTTTTTAGATCCAGAACTGAATTCTGTTCTTGTCTGCATACCAGAAGCTCAACGACATGCCCCTGCATCATGGTTTCAAGATGTTATCGCTAGAAGTGGTTGCAATCCTATCTCCACCTAGTATCCGATCTGAACAGTTGGAATTCAAACTAATCTCAAGCCCAGCCGAATCTTCCTGTTAAAAACGATGGAGGTACTGGCTGGTCCTATCGGTGCTGCAGCCGAGGACTGCCCTAATTTTAGTCCTACACTCTCCCCTCATATGCATCACTCGTGACATCTGTCCCACCGGGCTCACAGATGAAGATCCGTCCGGCCTTTTCGAACGGTGAGAGGCATATATATGTACGGTATTGACACTATTTAGCAAGACCCTGCAGAGCCCGCCGCCCCTCGGAGATAGTCATGAGTAAATAAGCGCCGATCGGGAACTCACAGACACTCGTGATAAATCTCCCGTTGTGATTCCTTGATTGGTACTTGATTGCCTCCCCCCCGTTACGGTAAAACTGGTACGGACAAAACTCTGTTACGCGGTGATCTACCACAGTCGATTGCACACTAACCCGCATTTTGAAGGGCCTGTCCACTTTTACAAAAGACAAGTGGAAACGATCTCGAGGGTGGCTGGGAAAACGATCGTATTTGCCATTTTACTAGTCATTCAGACTGTCCGACGCACGCATTTGCGGCTCGTCTATCCAAATAGAAGGGCTGTAGAATTCGCCAGTAAAACTTTAAAGAACGGTTTAAAGTTCAGGCAGCTGTCAATGAGACTTCCAGTGGGGATATTGCACCAAGGAAAATAGGCAGTGCCACACACGTAGGCCTGCTTTTCCCCTGGTAAAAATAGGCCAAGTGGATGTGGCGTCCTCATCTGTTGACTAACTTGCAACGGCAACTGCAATACAGGATACCCGGGAAAATAATTCCTTTCGAATAAAAACGAGCAATTTCGGGCATTTTTTTAATAAAATCTATACATTTTCAGGCAAGGGTAGGAAAGACAAACAGGAGGCCCACCGAAAGAAGGGGAATCATTTCTTTCGAACGAGGCTGCCGACCGCAGGAATAGATATCTTTGAAGCATCTGACGCAGCGCGGGGAAGGGTTGTTGTGGTTTCTGTAATGTGTACAGGTTGGGCCTCCACTGGTGGTGCTGTGTCCCACTTGCTGCGTTTCCTGGGTTCTGGGACGGAGATGAAACAAAAAATTGCATAGTTCCCTGTTGTTATGAACGCAGGCCCTCTGTTGAAAGGCAGCTTACAACATTTGTCTTTTGTAAATAAGAATATGCGGAAGGTTAGTTTAAGACATGAACAAGACCCGTGATAGAATGATGTGGTCACCACACAAGTTTGCGGAAGGCGCGAATTCGAGTGAGGGCGACACTTTCTGCCGCTAGCGAACTTCGCAACGCCTCTTCAGTAGCCGCCTGTCGCTAATAATATCTAGTGGCCGAGGCGAGGTAGAGTAATTAAACGTCTAATATAGCATCAGTTTGGCAGCATTACAATCCTGGTCCTATGGGAAGAGGACAGACAGAAACGATTGTAGATGTGTTAAAAATAGAGATAAGAGAGGCTGGAATAGTCGTTTCTGGCTTATTTGCAGCAGTTAGACATCCAGAATTCGGGGCCAGAAGATGACTGAGTTGGAACCTCTACCACCTGAGCAAGAAAATGCGCCCACACGACTGTGACCACTTAAAAAAAATTTCCCGACTGTACAAGTGTCCGCCACCGACGGTCTTTTCGAGGATAGTGCAGATACCTGCCATTGTTTTCTAGGAACCAAACAGGAGAAACGCGTGAGGATAAGAGGCGTCATTTCATAACCATACTTATTTACTTTCAGTTAAACAGAAACAACGAGCAACATCCTTCTGCTAAATGTCTTAATGATTTTTTTTCAAGTATGAGACACCCTTAAACATGCTCATGAAGTGGAGGTCATGTAAACTTGTTCCGGACGGGAAAAGTGGACCGTCCAGCTAAGGGGAAAAGAACAGTAAGACTCCCAATGGCTGCTCACAAATCAAACGATAGCCCTATTCACATTAGAGACGATGAAAGTGGAAAGTAGGAACCGTGTCTTACCGGCAAATCCGCTGGCGACGGAACCATCGACGAGGCTGTTCATGCTATCCGTCGAATTTATTAACGGCAAAGATCCAGACAGATTGGGGCCGCTGGCAGCACGCGTTAGAGACTGATTCGGGACAACGGAGGCAGTTGTGGTCGCTGGGAGCCCGGAAGCATCGTTCTTCCTCTGCTCTTTGCGTAATTTTTCCAAACGTTCGACCTCCCTATTCTGTATTTTTGCCAGTTCATCGTAGAAAGAGAGGGAGTTCCATCGATAAGGATTGTAGATTTCCTGCAAGGAAGGCATGTAAGTTGTTTCTAGAAGGCATTGCATGGTGTAGACAGCCAGTCAGATAACCGCACTTAGAGCCCTACCGCAGGCGTTTGGGTAGTTACCGCCTATCATTGTAGGCATGCGTCGCCGTCGTCAACTTATAAATTATAATACAGCACCTTCGAAACAAAAAAGATATCCGTTTAAAGACGGACTGCTAGGTAAAATCTACAGGCCGTTTCAATGTAAGTTATTTCACCATATCCTACAGGTGCTGGCGAAGAGCCCAGTTGTGCATCTCGCCACGTATGTGATTGCATGGCGCCGACGGTGACCGCGGCCAATTTAGATTTTTTTCTAAACTGGAGGCAGAAAACTATAGGTCTGGGTCCGACTGCCTTATTTGGAGTTTGGAAATAATTTTGACAAGAAATATATTGGTCAGGAACTACAGTACCTCAACTTCAAGGGCACTATTCTAACTAAGGCAACCGTGAAGATCTCTATTGAAAACCTCTAACCAGTTCTGTGCCCTTACGAATTCATGGATAAGGAAAATACGAGGCAATCACCGCACTGATGTCTACTAATTGGTTATCCTGGATTATTGCTAAGTTGCGCTGTCCAATTATTCATCCTTTAGTCTGCTGAAGACACGTGATCTGTCCTCTATTTCATCGCCGAATTTGGGCGAATTTACTTGAGGCATGACGATGCGACAGAAACAATTTTGACCAGCGCCGCCATAACATAGGAGACGGTGCCTTCTGGGGGAGTCAGGATGATCACCTACGTCGATTCCCCTAAACTACCCTGTGAGCATGTGGCCCAATCTTACCATTGGGCCACGGTTGGGCTAGGTGTGGCCCTGACCCAATCTCATTCCGGATTAATGCAGAAACAATTCCTTGTGTCAAATTATGCATCTAACTGCTAAGATAAACAATATCAAGACCAAACTAGATAACACTAAGTATACAATGCAGCCCTCATCGTCTAAACGTCCCGACATGATGACATGTCGTAACTTCGTCCTAGCTTTACCTATACTGTGGTACGTAATCGATTGTCTTTCGGATGTCTGATATGACTGTCTGTGCTAATTACGTTAAAAGGCGAGCTCCCCTGCGCATTTTTGGGAGGTCGGGCCAATTGGGCCACAACCGCCCTTGCCACACCGTGGCCCAACCTAACCCAATTGGACCGGACTGGGCTGCGCTGGTGCTGGCAGGGTGTCGACAGCCGCCGTCGGGCAACGAAACATAGCGTATAATTGGTATGTAGTATGTTCAGTCGTCTGGATAAGGATTTGTGGTCAATTAGGGGTGCTCAGCAACCAGTGTCGTTATACTTTCCAAGCGCAAAACACGACTTCTACCAAAACAAGATATATTGTGCAGTTTGTGTCCAAGATATCTGGTGCCCTGGTCATCTTTGTCCCAGAAGTAGAAAGAATCGTGACCAGGGACCGTACGCAAGGATCCTATGCACTGCACTGCTGTACTCTTGAAAACGCTCGTGGCGACTTAGTTAGATTGCTAGATACTGCAGGTCAACTGCATTTCAAACGATTGACTTCCATCGTCGTTTGTCGACCGCGGACCGCCCCTGAGTCCAATCGGATGGCATGTCAACCACGCAAGCCGTCGACTGCAGGGTCGGATATGTACCTGATGTCCCTTTTTCGTCACATCAACTTTGGTTTCTAATTGGCTGCGTGAAGGACTTTACCCACTATGGCCGGGTTCGGATGAACTGATGTCCGGACGGTTTCGTCCCATGGTCTGTCCAACAGCCAAGCCACCATAATCAGTGAATAAGTAGGGCACAGTCCTAGCCGAGCATACAGCAGTTTTTCTATTGACTGGCGGGGAGAGTAATTTAGAGGCTGCGACGTAAACGACATTAAAGGGACAATTATAGGGGATGGAAATCTTCCGATTGCAGGGGCCAAGTTTCATCGGGGTGGGTGGAGTGTCCTGAAGGCAGATTTCTCTCATCCCCATTTTGCCTGTTATAGAACTTTCGGAGGGAGGACTATATCCTTATGGCGGTCGTTTGACAGAAATTGACAGGACCGTTGACTTTCGAAAACAGTGGATGCGATACTGGATCGCACTATCTGCATACCTAACATCCATACAATTATGAACTTCAGACAAAGACTGGCTGAAACTACTACTCTGTCTGGTAAACACATGTGCGACTGCCAGTTACGGTCGGAAAAAGTCACTGACGATGCTTTAATGATGAAGATTAAGCGTTCATCAGTTTAGTGATCTGGCTAGTTCTAATCTGGACGTTCAGCGGGGTCGTTGCAAGTCCGCAACAGCAAAAAATTGAAACGCTAAAACAATAAGTATTTCAGAAAAAGGACACGGCGTAAACTTACGGGCGGAAAGTTGGTGCCTTTTTCGTCTATTTTTAAGAAGGAGATGAGTTTCTCGTACATGCTATAATCCAGAAGAGCAATGACAGTAAGGAAATAAAGATGATTACCTCGGATTGCGGAAATGTTTGTTATCCTGAATCTTCATGTTTGGATCATAGGTTATGTCAAGGCGCATACGTTGAATAATGGAGTCAACTTTTTGTTGAAGAACCTCGTCGCATAAACCGGGCGGCTCAGGAGGTAGTTGGACTTCCACCTGGGACGGTTTCTCAGGCTGTGTCGTCACTGGGACGGCCTCCTCGGAGGTGGTGGAGGTACCTGTATCTGGCGGGCCAGTAGTGCTCGGCGCGGCAGCATTCGACACGGGCGAATTTACAGCTTCACGAGCTTCTTTTAGCGCCTGGAAGTCCGAGAGCTTATGCTCAGAACTGAGAACAGTCAAAGGACCGTCGGTAATGATAAACTGAATGCCGGAAGCATCTTCTTCCTCTTCATCGCTGGATGTCGTATGTCCGTGAGAATGGTTACTTTGTTCTAAAAAAAGTTATCAGTCAAGAAGTGACAGAACCTACTGGTAGAGTGGTCGGTACCTGTATTTTCGCTGTCTCGTCCTTCGTCCTCGTTATCAGTCTCCTCCTCATCGTCATCGTTCCTATCATCCTCATAGGAAACGAGACTAAAGCCAGCTTCATGTGGGAAAGGCATTTGGAAAGGAGCTAAACTTACGAGGTAAACGAGGTCTCTTGACGGTGTGCCTAGTCTTTTTGGATTCATCTTGAACGGCTTCTTCTGAGGTTATTTGTTTAGATTCAGAGCGCTGATTGATTGGCGCAGTCTCCAGTTTCCGCTTATGTGACTCAGTTTCATCGTCAGAAGTTACAAACTGTGGAGAATTTTCGCCCGACATTTCAGTTTAGGCGGTCTTAAAATGGGAATAAAAAAGGGTTATCACTTCAAGTTTGTGTGAACGCTGAATTCATTGTTGAAATTATTAGGAATTGAAAAAAGTGGCGCCGTCTCTCGAATTCACCCTTCTCCTAATCGACGAGTCTATTTGGATAAGTTAGCCGACTTACAACATCATGGCTACTACGAAGCTAGACAAGCCCTAGCCGACTCTGTTGAAAACGAATATAGTGCCTAGGGACTAAATGGGAGTCAAGTCTGACAAAAACAGTGAAAATGGAAGGATTCTGCAATGAGACGCCCATAATCCTAGTGGCACGCTTCTGAGGTATCAATGTGGACGTTGGGATAAGAAAACACTTGGCGCTCTGTGCCAATTTTTGACAACTTGGGTATCGGCAGTGTAGTACGGTAGAGAAATCCGACGTCAGTTGAGTAGTACACAGTCTAACCGTCTTGGCAACTGGAGTCTAGGAAGCATCACAAGAAAAAAATGAGGTGAACATTGTTGCATAGTCAAACATTCAGCTCGAATGATTCTACTTACTACCCAGTCAATGGTAACGATGACGGGGATGGCTTTGGTGATGCTCAGTTCTAGGCACAGTAATAAGCTGCGCAGGGACAACTTGGTCTTCCCGGAGTCAATTACAGACCAATTGCGGCATAAATGCACATAAATTTGACCAGTTAGTGACTGCGACCTTGGGCAGTCGCATCCAAACAATATGACGTCCTCTGTGTAGTTAGAAAGGGTAGTACGTCAGAGGGCAAGAAGACAGATCCCTAAGCGTCGTTAACGACGGCCTGAACGAAGAAGTGGAAAGCAGTAGCCAAATAGAACAAGTTGACTAGATAAATGGGCAGACATAAAACAGGTCCCTTCCAGGAAGACACCTCGCCGTCAGATGTATGGCAAATTACGAGTAGATACAATGTAGGGCTGAAACTCGTTTAGCGTTTGTAGTCACTGGTAAGTGGAAGAACAAAATTATCGAACGTGTCGCGGAACGACCTCACCTTCGTCCATGCTTGCATGCACCCCGTGTAATATCGGCGTAAATATTTCCTTCACGGTTGATTTAAAAGTTGTTAAATACAAGCAGTAAAACAGCTGGATCCCCAAACTAGAATAATCTGAGAACCAAATTGCAACGGCCCTTTAGAAGTTCAGTTTCCTCGTTGACATTTCGAATGTCCTGGATTCTTGGTTGTAACCGTTAGCACACTGGTCTTGAAACAAGGTTTTCATGGGGGAATGATTTCGCCGATAGGAGGGACCTGCAAAATATTTGGTAATGTCCATGCGAACGACGATTTGTGGAGCCAGCAGGCCTTAGAATGTCTTTTTAATTGAATTCTACAGCTGCCTAAAGAGGCATGCAGACACATATTATTACGTTGTGTAAGTAATTATATTGTTGTTTTTTGCATCCCCAATGGGATGACTGGTTGGTCAAAGTAATCTGTCGTCTGTTCATAAAAATACACAGGGCCAACTGAAGTGGTAGATATGATATCGCAAGAGTGCCCGTCAGTTAATGCCTGCATTAATGTGAAACTCATCTAGGTTATGAGCAATCGATTGCAAGCAGAAAATTGCATAGGGTGTTCTCCATTTTCGCGTGTTTTGCTGTGACATCAGCAGACAATATCTGGCTATGACAAAAAAACTAATCTCTGAAAATACGACAAAACAGACTTAAAGAATGTACACAAGAGTAAGTGATTTCCTCTGACAGAAATCACTATGGTCAAATATAAATACTTATGGAGCTGGTTCAAGAGTATCTTTGGTAAAACCCTACTGTGTCAAATAATCTCGGAGGGGTTCTCGGGCAAGTTCTGGGGGATCTGCGGCGTTCCAACTATTGGGGGGATTATCTATCAATCGAAAATGCATCAGGTCAGAGCTGATGAGACAGGCGCAGTGCTCATGTTCTTGTGGGTTTTTTATGCAAGCAGATTTGTCAAGAATGCGGCAGTACTATGGGGCGACAGTTGTCAAACAACCAGACTCGAGCAGTCTGCAGCGAGATGGATGTGGCTAGCCGCATCTGTCTGAGTCTTCGTTTTCGGAGGGATTTCGTGACAATTCCGGAAATGACAAAGCAAGAAACGTGTAAGTTATCGCGAAATTACGCTGCCATCACTGGAAAAGAACGGAGGAAGGCGAACCGGCCGATTGCCCTCAGATGTCTGGTTAGGTGAATAAAGGGGTATTATGTTATTAGTATGAAACTGTTAAACAAGACTCGTTTTCGCAAGGTTTAACTCTAGACCAAGTTTCTGGATCAGCTGCTCATACGGTGAAGACAGCGCATTTCCTTGTTGCAGGAAAGCGTCGACGCAAGACTCTGCGACGGAGACTCTTCGTAGCGGAGACCATTGTGAGTAGAGTAGCCTTCCGCGCAGTTAAATAAAGGTAGTAAACGGGTACAGGGCTGGCGGTAAATTGGCAGTTCTTCTCATCGGATATCTGGACCTTGACAGTGATCCGGATACGCGACTTGATCAAACACGAATTTCAAGGGTATGCCGGTAGCTTCCATGGTTTTCCGAAGGAGACTTCTGTCAATGGAGGGTAAATACATGATTTATGAGGCTATCCCATCGTGGTGAATTTCTCGGTCTTTAAACAGACGAAGTTGGAGCGTGCGCATAGGATTTTTGGGAATCCTGTATGTGATTAAATTTTCTTGAATAAACGTTCAGCAGCAGGGACTTTTTGCCGCTATGACAGATGATAATTCCAACCCTAAAACAGCATCACGGAAGCAATGTTTTCGGAGGATCCTCTTCGAGAGTGTTGACTCATGACATTATCCATTCTAAGTATTCCGTTCTATTTTACTTGTGCTAACTCAATCGCGTGACTCTGGTCATTCCGATTACGACACTATTTTTGGCCCAGTTAAAAAGCAAATACCATAGGGATGAAATTTGTAAATAAGCTCAGGTGTCCACGGGAAAAGGCCTGACGAGAATTTGCCCAAAACAAGCCTGTTGAACAGTCTTCTAAACGGGTGAAGGAGATTATTTCCCAAAAAGACCAGTAAAGGGCGTGCTTTTTGAAGTGTGATCCTTGGATTTGAGGATGCAAGAGCAGTCGGGCCTTCACAAGCCTGCAGTTTGGTCTACGTTTGCTGTTAACACGAAACCCACGAACTGGGCGACATTCAATGACGACGCTTTCCCAGTGTTTGTCTGTAAGACCGCCTACCTATTCGGTGATATTATCACCATTCAAATGAGTGGTCAATGAATTTCCCTCTAAAGTGTAGGGTCTGTGGCTTCAGCGAAACCCCGGCATTAGCTACGGCAACTCGATCAAGAGCATGGAAGGTCTCTGGGTCGAATTGTCTCTAGTATACATTCAAACCGACTGTAACTATCTTAGGGTTACAGGAGGAAATAGTGCCCCTGAATGCTTTACGGTAAGTCAAGGAAGTTTCGACTGAAGCTTTATCCGCCGTGAAGGTACAAGGGTAAATCATAAATATAATAACAGTCAGTGACCATTCTCCTGAAATGTTGGCCGAAATTCTAAAATGCGTTTTCGACTAGGAAGGATTATTTAAGTGGGGTTGTAATAATACTGATTAGCTTGTGGCATAATCCCATGATATTTCAGATATGCCAGGGTGTTTGTTGTTGAATGCAATTCCTTTTGGTCCGCTATAAAACCGCACTCGGTGGAAAGTGACTATTTAGATAGCATACATTCTCTCCGTCGACTTCGGATGTCCTTATAAATTCAAAATGTTTTGCAGAAAACATGCACAAACATAGTCTTTCTTGCACTCATTTGGCAGCAAATCACATCTTCCGCAAACGTTCTACTGGAAGAACGGGTATTTTTGAGTTTTACAAGTTTATAATTATGAATTTTTTCAAGACAACGCAAAGTCCATTCGAACTGCACCCTATCTGTCTGCCTAGTAATGATCTTCATTAAGTATACAATATAGTACACATCCGTTGTAACATTATACTAGGTCCATACGGTGTTTTCTTAATGGTATAAAGGAATGAATGCATTTCCCTACACGGAAAATATACAGTTTGAAGACTGACGACGCTAAGCGAAAATACAACGACAGACCGGGTTCAAAATTGCTCGAGAAGTGAAAGACTTTCCTAACTCCAAAAGATATCCCCTTTGGAGTATACAATTTGAAAAAGATATGATTTCCTACCAAATTATTACAAAAAAAATAATATTTTGTGGAGGTTTTGCGTAAAATATATCCAAATTTACAAGGGCATCGAAAATCTATAGGGAAAATGCATACTACTCGAGTAGCCACCTTTTTCAAAGTGCAGTTTGTGCAGACGACCGAAAGAACTGCATTTAAAAACCAACACCCCGACATGTCTGAAATGTCATGAGATTGCGTCGTGAGGTAATCAATCTTACAGTCCCTCCTAGTCGAAAACCCACTTCAGAATTTCGGTTAATATTTTATGGGATTGGTCACTGTAGGTTGTAACTCAGTGTACTCGTCTCCGGGCTGGTATCGTCGAGACAAAAGATGATTCATGGTATGGACAGTATCTATCAGTATCCTAGCAAGAGACAACACGTATTCAGTTCTGCAATCAAATATCGTTGGTTCAAATAGTTACAACCCGTTGAAAGGGAAGAAGCTCGAACGCGCCTACTACTGTATTCATCTTGGCATTAATCACCCTTGCCAGTTTTAACGGAAAAGTAAGAACTGTGTTCCCCCTATTAGTTTAAGTATAAGTCCAAAGGCGCCGTAGATGGGAGGGCATTTTGATGGCAATCAACGTCTACCGCGTAGACGACATCACAACAACGCGCTTACTGATTCACAATCTTGACTTTTGGCGAACGACCGACTTGTTGAGTCGGTGCAGACAACACGGAAGAAAACACCGACGTACAATTAGTGGCTGCCTATCAGTACACATTTTGCAACCGTGACAGTAACGACAAAACCACTGCGGACGTGCACATAGCCGTCTGGCCGTAACGATCCGGATCGTTACGGCGCGTTTAACAAAAAACGTATCAGCGTGCCAGATACGCAGTTGACAGATTGGCATATAAAGCAAAAATTTTAAAAACTTTCCCCCATTTACCGTCGAAACGAAATTTCAGCGGAGAAAAGTACTCGGGTGCAGCAAGAGCTTGAAGAGCCAAGAAAAATGCCAACGCACACAGAATTTAAAGTAGGCAGACAAAAACGAATCAGCAAAGGTCGTTGAAGTTGTAGTCAAGACGGTAACGTCATGATTGCCAACTGATTCTACACGTCCAAAAATAGCTTACACTTTACTATTATGACTTAAGACAGATTTCTTTCAAACAATACGGTCCATATGTTGACGGATATTCTAAAATGCGACGCCGTAGCCAGAACAGCGATAAATGCCAAGAGTGGTTTCAGGTCACCACGACTCGTTTTATTTTCTGTAGGCTTCAGTTAATAGCATTTAATAGCAAAGTACGCCTTTTTCGTAGATAGTATAATAGACAAAGGAATAACTTCATCTTATGACTCAGTATTCAGAAAAGTTCCAGCAGAACATTGCAGCCTAGCGAATATATAACTCTTAAATTACAATCAGACACTTCCGTTTTAAGGTATTCGCATCTACCATTGCACATGAATAAAATTGTGTTCGCCACAAGGAACACTTGGTAATGGTTTGTGCAACAAAAAAAACTCAGGATGCGACTTGTATCCTTCTGAATCGGGATGCTATTGAGGTAACTGGGCTACTGAGGCCATTGAAGTCTGAAATTCAGGCCGTTAGTCCTCCACGCCACTAAAACATACGTTGCGCTGACTGCGAGGTTCGAGTTATCCCGCCACTTGGCGACAATATTTGTCACGGCTTTTAGAGCATCGTGACAACCTCAAGCGTGTCAGACTGTTTGCACTGTTGAAATTGCTCTGAGACTTCGACCGAACTCTCTCTTCGCTTTCCCAGTCCCAGTCCACTGTCCTGGCCGAATGACTGTCTGGTGCCGTAAGTGCGAGCTGCGGATGACAAAGCTTGAGAAACCTACCGTGTCCCACAAACGCCCACGCCAGTACTACACTCAATTTCCATAGAACGCTTGGTTCTCACATGCAGCCGAATAGCCTCACAGGGATAGGAGCGAACAATCCCACTTCTTACTTACGTGAGAGGTGCCGCAAATGCGTGAAGTTGGAAGGGTGTATGTGTAATGCATGTGCTGATGGAGGAATATTCAGTAACGTGGTCGCGTCTGGGTGATTTGTTGCAGGTTTTCATGAATGTGCTTGGGACCTAATAGACCCGTGCGGAAGTGAATTTGTGTGGACAGCAGGGTGCTCATACTTCCAGACGTATTTCCCCAAGCAACCTGAGCTGCACTGAACAGTGTGGTCAACGAAGCCTAGTGCGGTGGGTGCATTTCGATGCTCCTAAAACCTTTCGGCAGGTTCTTTGATGGGACCCCGACGGGTTTTTAATAAAAAATTATCTATCTATCTATTCTGTGCGACGGACCCGCAGATGAACGGCCAGGCCGGTACGTGATGCATAGCGAGGACAGGGTAGGTTCGGGTCTGTAGAACTGGTTGAGTGATGAGACTGTTAGCCGCGGTCATACTGGTAGATGGGACGTTGTAAGCGTTGAGGATAGAAGTGTTGTCGTGCACGTAAGATGTGTTTAGGATATCGATAATGCGGTAAACTCCGCTTTGGAGGGTGTACACTTGGCCAAATAGACTCATGCGATGAGTGAGTGTGCGTGTACTGAGCGGGCAGACGAGGTGGGTGCATGTCGGAGTTCTAGGCACTGGTGTACTGGTCATGGTACGGTATATTTGCAAGTGACCGACCAGACCGCTGTGTAAAGTGAATATGCGATCACAACGAGGACAGGTTGAGACCAAGTTCATATCTGTGGAGGTGGGGTTGGTGTTGATGGCTGACGGGCGTCAGGAGCATTTCGGTCGGCGACAGGAGTAGTAGACATGGTAATCTTCGTTGTTACCGTGCTGATTGTGGAAGAGATGATGGAGGTGGCATGGTCGACGTTGGTGGGACACAGGAATTCGGAGCAACTGTGATTAGGGTCGACGCCGTCCTGATTGGTGTGGGGCAGTCGTGGAGGCAGCAGTTGGGGTAGTCTAGCTGTCCGGACAAACGGCTTAGCTCGTAAATAACGATGCACAAACGGGCAGTCTGGAGAGACGTCCCATCGTTTCAGGTCTTTGCTCACAACCTGGTGGAAGGCCACGAATTCAATTTTGCGACCACTCGGATAATGGCGCGAGACAGTTATAACACAAGATGAGAACGCCTGAAGTCATGGGTGTCTGACAACAACTCCATCAACAGACGCGTCGATATGCCCCCTGCTATTGCGCACTCTAAGTGGGGAGACCCGGTTCCCAGACAAGGGTTCACGCAGTTACGCCACCTTGAGAAGGCGTGGATTCAGGGTCCGTTTTCCAAGCTCGACGAACTGAGACTACAGGTGGCCAATAGGTCTCCCGACGTTAGAGCAATAACAGAAACGTGGCTGTCACCGAACGTAGGTGGTTGAGATGTAGAACGGTCAAGATACCAATTGTTTAGGAGAGACAGGAGTGATCGCCAGGGCAACGGAATTGCCATGTATTCAAAGAGCGACTTAACAGTATTTGAAGGGACCGACAAGATTGCAAATGACACAGCGGCCAGTTCGCTGACAATAAAGTCGCGAGTTTGTAGTCCCTCAAAGTCATAACTATCTACCGACCTCTACGGACGGACCCCGACGCAGATGTAGGAATTCAAGGAACAATTTGTAAATTGATCAGGAGTTTTCTGTCCTCCAGAGTACAAGGAATCGTCATTGGTAACTGTAAATCAGGATAGGCAAATGTGGAAAGTGGCGTCCCTCAGGGTTCTGTCTTGGGCCGTGTACTCTTCGTGATTTATGCTAATGACTGCATCATCGAAGTGAAGTGCGAGGGCCTCATGTCCGCGGATGACATAAAAATATGGAGTGAAGTCAAGTGCCATGATGACGCAGAGAAGTTTCAGTCGAACATTGACAAACTGTGTACCTGGTCGAACAGATGGCTTTTGAAGTTAAACGTGTCCAAATGCGTAGTCTTACACCTGAACACAGGCCGCAATGCCTCTCCCAAACACCTGTACTATATTGACTGGACGAGGTTAGAACCTGTGGAAAGACACAGAGATCTGGGTGTATGGACGATCACAAATCTATCGCCATCAGAACACTGTAGAAAGATGGTCCAGAAGGCGACTAGTACTATACACTGGATCAGACGTGCATTTAAAATATTTCCTCCCGAACTCTTCGAAAGACTCTTTGGTGTCTTTGTAAGACCTCATCTAGAGTATGGAATGCCAGCAGCTTCACCATGGATGAGGAAGGATATCAACTTACTTGAACAGGTGCAACGCAGAGCGACAAAGATGGTCGACGGTCTGAAACAATTGTGTTATCAGGAGAGGCTGAATTTGCTTGGCTTATTCCCTCTCTCTTATAGACAAATAAACTACAGTCTACTTTGGACGTTCAGTAATGTCCGCGGCCAGAGTTGCTCAGTAAGAACGGAGGACTTCTTTGAGTTTGCCGTACAAACAAACAACGCGGACATGCCTACAAAGTCAGGAATGAGCGCACACGGTTGGACTGTCGAAAATTTTCATTCAGTCAGTGGGTTGTCCGACCGTGGAACTCGCTTCCAAGCGAGATGGTGACGACTGACACAATTGACATTTTCAAAAGAAAACTTGCTCGCCTAGTTTTTAACAGAAATCGGCTTTTAAAACATGACTATGCACACCCAGTTTTGTAAAACACTGTCACATACAATCCTTCCGCACTAATGTGAAGTGACCTGATGCACTTAGCTACGATTACGATTGAACGGTGACCCGATCACATTGTAAATACCAGCGATTTTATTTTTGAGTACGAATCTGCGAAAGCACTGTACATAAATAGGTTCATCAAGGGTTCTGCCTGTAATCCTCAAAATATATACATAGATATATGTACATAGGCAGCTCGCTAAGAGTGCAACAGGCCAGACGCAGACGGCTGTTTCAAGGTATTTGCCGATAATCAGTACGTCATAGGCCTTATAAAGTGAGATATATAAGCGTGTCAACTGAAGAGGCGACCTCGGGAACCATAAATATATATGCAGAATGGTATTACCGCCACAGACAAGGGAGACTGGATTGGCCATTTCTGGCTTATTAGCCGTCTTCAACCGGTCATACCCAACCCCGAAGTGTGGAACACCCGCGGCTCGAACTCGCGACCTGTTAGTTAGAAGTCCACGCCTCTAACCATTGGGTCACGAGCTCGTTTCCCTGTCGGTTTCGATCGGGAATATACCATGGTAGGGAGCGCTCACCGATCGTTCATATGGCCAAAGAGGCGTATTCAGAGGTCATCGTACACTTTGAGAGTAACCACCCTGTCTCTCACAAACGGAGTACAGTCTACAGCCTTCTGAATCGAGCCAAAACCCACTGCTCTGACGAAACAAGTTATCGAGCAGAAATGAAATACCTCTACAAACTGTTCTCCCAAAATGGGTACCCGCATGACTTTATACGTCAATGCGTGAGGCACCAGCAACTCAAGGGAAAAGGTATTTCCAATGCTACGGCCACTCAGGCACCAAAACAAATTACATGGCGAACTCTCCCATACGTTAAAAATGTATCTGAACTTGTCGAAAGACAATTGAAAAAGTACCAGATACACGTAGCACACCAACCGGCAACTACCTTACGCACACAGCTTGTGCACCCTAAGGACAGGGTCGGCTACCTTGAAAGAAAAGGTGTCGTCTACAAAATCCCGTGTTCTAGTTGTGATGCCGTTTATTGTGGCCAAACTGGGAAATCTGTCTCAACCCGTATACACGAGCATCAGTTAGCGGTGAAGAGACGCGACCATCTATCCCAGGTGGCCATGCACACACTAGACACTGGGCATAAATTCGCATGGAAGAACACTCGCACTGTTGGCGCCTGCCAATCAAGAATAGGCCGCGAATTCCTGGAAGCAATGCACTCAGATGAGGCATGCATCAACCGGCATATCGATTTAGATGCCGCATACAAAATCGTTAAGGACAGATTCAAACTGAGTCAGCCAATCCCGAGATGGCAACCTTAACCAATCATGGACTCCTTTAGCTAGACTCAGTCTAAAAGTTAATTGTTTTTGCACACCCGTTGTCTGAAGACGAGCTGGGGAACCAGTCTCGAAAATTCACAATAAAATTTTGCTGTTTCCCGAAGAACTTCACCTTTCTAATTATATTTCTTGGGATGCCTGTTTTTCAATACATACATAATATAAAAAAGCCAGTGTCCCATGTAAACTGATGTCTGCATTCATTTTATGTTGTAGTTTCTTAATGTTGTTGTAATTTTTTCGATTTTCATGTACAAATATGGAGTTCAAAAGTGTAAGCCTTTTCTCCTCAAATGCACTTAATTCTGAACGGATCGCCAACACCATGCCCTCCGCTCCTATCACCCCACTTCTCTGTTTGACTACAGAACTGCTAATTTGACGCCGCACTCTTACAGGCTTTGCTGATAACCTCCTGCAAGAGACCGAAGGCTTAGACTAATACACGTACTGTCCCAATCATCGCGCACAAATCTTCTTTGTTAAGTTAAACTGCGAAGTGTGGTGCCAGTTTTGTACTACTGGGGCTGTCAGTCAACGGCAGTTAGTTGCATTGCAATTTCGCCTCATGGCATGTACTTATCATGATTGTTATGCTGGTTTTTAGTATTCCCCGCCCGAATTTAGGCTTTTTTACGCAGTTATGGGGGCCGAGTTCCTCCTACTTAAGTGCGTGTCTTTTGTCTTGCGAGCGAGCGTTATGCTTATTAATACCTCACATTAAGCGTGCCTAGACTGACGTAGACCAATTCAAACTCCGGAGTGATTAATGGAATTTACACTCGAACTAGTGTTTTGAAATCTCCACAAGGTGCGCCAGGTTTTATGGAGTTTCTTATAGTCTTCGTAAGCCCATTTATTGCTTTTATTTCCTGTGGAAGTCTTGCTTGTAACACGCTCGGCATATCTGAGCTCTGGTGTGGTTGCTTTCTTTTTTTTGAAATGCCTCTAAGCCCGTCGGATGTCCTCCCGTCTGGGCAATACTCTGCTTTTCTGCGAACAAGCTCGCTACTCCTGCACTATCTACATAGTTAACCTTCGTTATCCATTGACGGCGACCAACTGTTCACTTTAATACTTTGACTCTGAGTCCGTAAGCCTAGCTGCTGCCTACCCGGCGTGTTCATAGGTGGAGGATAGTAGAACAGCCTTCAGCGAAGGTTAGGTGCGAACTAAGCACACTTTCGAATCTGGCGAATCAAGATTCGCGGATACGCCGACCACTTTCAAAAGTCCTGCAAAGTCCAATTACCCCATGGCGGCCGCAAAGTGCCGCCACATAAATGTGCCTGCCACCGCTGCCCTGTATTTCGTTCTTGAACCAAAGCGTTAGATGAGACAAATAATCGGATCGTCGGTTGAGGACCCGTCTGTACTCATAATTCTCAAAAAACCATGAAAATATATCCGAATATAGTATTACGACCCATGCTCTGGCGTCCGCGCGAACCGACACACTCCGCAACTCTTGTCCAGTGGTGCGGGCGAATAGTATACGAGCTGGACTACTCAATCCGGAACGGACCCTAAGTATTAGCTGCTAGGATGTGCAAACTTTTCTAAACCCTGATGCCTAAAGTCTGACGGCGCACAGTCTCAATCAGTACAATGTGGGTGTCTGCCGCCTGTCTGAATTCCGAACTCCCGATTCTGGCGCTCGGTAGATGAAAATCCCGGGAATCAACTCACACTTCATCCTGTGCCACAGTGGCCTAAACGACTCGTCTGGTAAAGACGATGTGGCGATCACCTTCTTGCATCAAGCGAACCGTGGACTACTTGCTTGGGAACCAGTCAGTGACCGCATGGCCTATGTGCGTCCAAGGGTTACTTTACGAAAATAACTGTCGTCTCTATGTAAGCATCAATTTCAGCCTCCGAACAGCGCGGCAAACACATTGTCTACTCACAACCTCAGCCGTTAGTTTAAAAACTTCCTCGCCGTGATGTGCTGATTGTTGCCGTGAACTGGAGTGGCCGGACTGGACCTGGCGACTTCAAACAGCAAACTTATTGACTGCTTTGTACTTAATCCGCGATGCGACAATGGCAGCCAATGATGAAATTTGCTCGATATAATCGAATATTTGTTACCAGCACGTGCCTCCTCCATTACCACAAACATCTGCTGACTTAGTACTCAAAAACGGTCATACGGCCGGTCAGGTCGATTACATTATAATCAGCTCAAGGTTCTGCAGCTGGGTTCACGATAACAGATCGATGTGCGGTACCGAAACTGGCAATGCTCGTGGGTCGGACTATGTTCTCATCCGCACACGCTTGAAAGTGAATCTCTCATCTGCACCCAAAACGCCGGCTTTTCTCAAGCCTTCGAAAGTGTCTATGGGCCCGACACGACATCCATCGCCACGGAGATTCAGATGTTCCGTGCATTCGTCCGGTCAGTCATCCTGTGCGATTGTGGATGCCGGGCTGTGCGCGTGGAAGGTGGGCGAAAGTTTGAGGTATTTGACTACCGCTGCTTGAAGACAATCATCCGAATAAAGTACACTGACTTCGTCTCAAATGAGACAGTCTGCAGTCGCTACGACAACATCTCAATGATATCTCGGGTCATTCAAGAAGGACAACCTCAGTGGCATGAACACGTTCTTCGTCGTCTGCCTCAAAAGCTCGGCGTTGCTGCCCTTGGAATGACACCGTTATCCACTCGGAGATGTCGAAAAGGAAGTCATATCAAAGCTGGCCCGACAGTTTGTCAGGACACAGAGACGGTTCCCAGACCTTCGGTATTTGGTCTGTGTCGCTGGCGAAGACAATGGGTTGAGCTGTCCAGATCAGTTGCTGTGGATCGTGAGGCATGGAGGGGTACAGTCCATGACATCATCGAGGCCGGCTAGATCAAACATAATCACAGCCGTATCAAGTAACAAGTAAATACATTGTACGACTTCGCTCATGCCTGATCTATCCTGACTAAAATTTCATGATTCTTCTTGGAAATATTCGGTATGAGCGGGTCTTCAACAGCTCTCCGGACTTCTTTTTCGAAACTCCAGCGTTTTGGCTTATCGGGACTTAACCGAAAAGCACTAATGAAGAGAATCCGTTCAATTGCGGTTGACGGTAGCCATGTTGAAGGGGCGTTATCCGGCCATTCCATAGGGCAGTTCGTGTGCCATACCTCATTACTATGTGTTCTGCAGCTATCCTTCACCGAAGGCTGTTCCACCATCCACCATCATTAGAAGCGCAGGGTGACCGACAAGAAAGCTAACGGATGGACTCTTTCCTGTCCACCTGGCTTACTGTGACTCCAGGGTCTGCCATGTTGATAAACTCCGTCTTTCACGCAGTTTGCAGCTGCTAAAACAACACTTGAACAAATGCTGTGGGCGACTGCAAGGCCACCACTTTCCATCATTTACGCGCGCTTGGTACCGGTGAGGCGGAATTCGCGCGATCACGTTAGAATATCGACCATGACATAGGAGAAGCTGACAGGCTCGCCAGTGGCTAGAACTGTCACGAGTCCAAGTTAGTCGGAAAGTAGAACTGGAAGGTTGTAAGATGTATTCGAAAGTGACTCGGGTTTGCCACCGCACCAGCTGAGGTTTCGAGCCAGTGGTGTGTAACTCTGCCGTTTTAAGGGCTCTATGAGTAATTTTCTATTCAGCTACTGAGAAATAACCTCGGTGACTTCCTGCATGCCATCTCAATTGATTCTTCCACAGCTGAATGCTGCGGAGATCTTTCAGTTTCGTCCCGCGTTTATGAGTGAGCACAAAATACACCTAAGTATGCATACGGCTAAGGTGTCAGTTCGTCCATGATTTGCAGTGAAGTCTTAATGGTGACTCACGTGAATAGGATTATAGTGAAGTAGACATTTCGTATACATCGCACTCGTTACGCGCCCTCCATGTTCGAATGGGCACAGAAAGCCGACATGACTAACGCTTGTTGTGGGACTGCGGCCGAATTCAACTCTAAGCATTCCATATACGTGTTAGTTCCTACACGCACGCGAAGCACACTTAAGCACCCAAAAACCACATTGAGACGGAGTCATAGTAATAAGACCCGCATTCCGTAGAAGGGCCAATTTAGCCCATCAGCTTCAGTTTGCATACTTTTTCTAACCACCAGCTTCTGACTCCGTCAAAAACGAGAGGTCTGGGCGAGCAGACTTGTGGTCACAAACATTTTTTCAGGAAACAGTTGTCGCAATCATACGTGTCACTGTACTTTCTTAAGATTCCATCAGATCTTTCTGAAACGTTCCGTCAGCGTAGGTCTTCAAAATCTTGTTTTGAATTTTATTAACTTTCACCTCTCTCTCCACACTACTGTACTCCGAGGTCTTCATGCACTACCAAATCCCATCACTGATCGTGTATAACTGCCTATGTCTTAGTCGGACAATTTTCCTCCCTCAAAAACTTACTGGCCCAATTCTAGATACTCAAGGAAGTGCGGGAGGGTTTCATTATTTTAGAACCTCTTTCCCCAATTTAGTGCCTTCCCATGTTTTTATTTATTTTTGAAATGTGTATTCATATACGAGGTACTGGATGAGACTGTGGCAGCTTAAGATTACGTTCTTTGTACCACTCGACTTTGGATTGTTGCCCAGATATCTCGTTGCCTCTAATACCAAGGGGTTAAAGGGAGTAGTTTCCGCATTAATTAGTCCGGTTGCACAGTACGAGTTCTAGAAAAGTCCTGAGAACAGGAAAACGACACCTTCAACCATGAATTATAGTCAGAATCTCTAGCGTTGTCACACATTTGACTAGTATCTGGTCGTGGGCACGGTTGCAGCCTCAAGAAATGCCCTTTTTTCTAACTAACCTGTGTCGTAGTTTGCCATTTGATCACCGGGAAGAATGGACGCGACCTCTTTTTTACCATGCTTTTTGTGCTTATTCAATCTTTGCTCTTCTCTCCCTGGTTATCGAAAATGCAAATCATAATTTCGCTTGGCGAAAACTAAACTAGTCTGTGTTTTTTGTAGATGTACTCCACCGGCCGCGGCGGATTTAAGCAGCTTCTCCACCCTTATTATATTGTGAACATATTTCTTAGTTTTGCCTTCCCTTGTTGCAAAACTCTTCCTGGGTTATGTGAAATTCTCTTCAATGACTGCACTTTGGACTTCCAAGAATACGAAATCATAATTTTCTTGGCAAGTTTCATCACCATCCGCAATAAGCGACAATTTTCCATCACAGATTATGTCGCTCACTTCTGCATGTACACCAAGTTATGCAATCTTTTCATGTTTTGGCGTCAGAGCGTGACCTTCGCCTGTCTCTATGGCATTTTATGGATCCTCCAGTCTGCCTTCCTCTTCCAACCTGTGTACAAGGGTCCAGAGTCAGTCTTATACTTTCGTCCGCAGACGTTTGATGAGGTTGTGAGGCATGGCGACCCTCGTGTCACTTGGATTATAGCCTTCTACACTGCCTGGTCGCCGGCCTGTAACGCGCTAGCTCCAATATTTTCCGAGCTCTCTCACAATTATGCGCTACCCTTCTTGAAGTTTGGCAAGGTCGATGTGACTCGTTCACCCGAGCTAGCTCATGCCTGCAACGTCGACAATTCGACCTGGTCGAAACAGCTGCCCACGATAATCATGTTCAGGGGAGGGAAGGAGATAGATCGCCGCCCGGGAATCAGTTTGAAAACGAAGACACCGATGAAATTTGCCTTTTGCTGGGACAGCATCATATCTGCCTTCTCCCTAAATGACCTGTATTCCCAGTGCAAAGGCCTTGGTTCGGAAAAGAAGGCGGGAGGAAGCGCACAATCGCAAAAAAAGACCGAGTAGACGTTTTCTGCGCATACGCACACAATCAACACCCTTTTCTGACAGTCCCTTACGATTAGTGTGGCGACTTTATTTGCTTTGTTGCCTCTTTTCGCTCCCTGGTTAGTGCTGTCGCTGTATATCTTATATTATTTTCGATTATTACGCCCGCGTTAAAGAAAACTCATGCTCATTGAGCGTGTTTCTTGCCCAGACGCTTACAACCGTCTTGTAGTTGATTTTGCATTCCAAAAGTCACAAGAGGCCTTATACTGTAATAATGCCAGTTCTGGCCACCATGTCGCGGATTGTCGAGCGCCGGGTCGAATATTGAACGGCTGGAAGAGATTTTTGTTTCAGAAGACGAAGGTGCTATCACTGGAACAAGAAATTTATTGGCCTGACGTTTAGGATTCTCACCCGAACCCGTCATCAGAGACAGTCGCAGAAAAGGATTATGGTGGGTCAAGGAGTGCAGTATTTATAGCACGTGGCTGCCGTGCGACCATATACGTACTGTAATTAACAGCTCGCATTCACCGCTGTGGCTTGACAAGCCACCATCAATCCCACGCCGTTCTCTGTAGTAGTGTTGTCGCCCTCCAGCTTACGCAGTGTCGCATGACCTACTGTATCAGTAATTAATGATCGGCACAATACCGGGGCTGGCCAACAGACAGGCATCCGGGGATGACGGTGTGCCCATTGAAATCTACGAGTCTTATCTCGACGCTGAGACCTTGGCGTCAAGGGGGAGATGAGTTCGTTTCTGATAACGGGCTCGAGCAGCCTTGAGCCTCTTCTCAGTATGGGAGACAAAACAAATTGTGAGAACTACCGGGGCATACGTCTCGTCGACGTTGCTGTAGGTGTCTTTGCCGTTTCCATTCTTAGGCAATTTCAGAGTTTACGCGACTCGAGGTCAAAACCCAAGCAAGCCGGGTTGCCAGCAGGACGTGGATGTGCGGACCAGACCTCTACCCTATGGCGCACTCCTGACTTGGACATTGCTACCAGCGGCCAATTGCAGTCTGCTTTTCCCGCTCCGTCGTGATTCACTATGGCGGAGACGGTCATTAGATTGCATGTCAGCAAAAATCATCGCCACGGTCAGGGCCTACTATTGCTCCACCATCGTTCGACCCCTAGTCCATAAAATACCTCCCAGCCGTTCGGTATCCGTTCTTACGTTGGGAAAGATTGCGTTTTATCGCCTGTTCTGTTTAGCTCCGCCATTGACTGGATTCTCAGACACGGGTCCTGGACGGTTTTAACAATGTCGAATTTACACCCAAGCGCTGACTGACCGGTCTGGATGTCGCTGACCAAGTTCCAAGGGCAAGACGAATTTGGATGAATTTTGGCACAATATCTGACTAAGTACTTGGGTGGGGCACGGGAATATGGACCCGAGACTTCTACAGGTAACCTTGCGCCAGCTTGTCGGGAGTACCGTTTCCTGTGTCCTAAGTTTAACCCGAGTCCTAACACCGACTCCCATAACCCTAAGCCTGACTTCCTGGAATGCAGGGCAAGGACGCTTGTAATACGGAGGAGTCCATATTCCCGTGCCCAAATGGTACTGCAATATCACGCCTGGCACGCATTTGTACGTACGTAGCGGTAGCAGTTTGGTCCTCGACAACCTAGTCTCAATTCGTTTCTTACAAGATGCAACACTCTCAACTGGCGTGCAACTTCTCTTCCTAATCGAACCCTGCCTGGAGGTCGTAGCGACAAGGTTCCGCACTTGGTTTAAGCCGCCGCGACAAAGGTGATAGTTCCATTTTCCTGGTGATTCACTCCGCCTGCGGGCCATGTGTGAGTTGCTTGGTATTCCGACTGATTATGAGAACTGCGAATGAACCCTTTAAGAGGCTGTTCTGCCACTTTTACGCAGAAGGACCCAACCTTTCACCGGGGATAGACCCGCCTAAATTGTCGATGCCCTTGCCTTTTTTCAGTGCTGCCCATTGGCATTGGGGACATAAGGCCATTGCTGGTTGCGATGTGTAAGCAGTTCTTGCTTAAACTCACTTGTCTCGACGAAGACGTCCGTGGTCCATCTATCGTTGAGAAGGCGCGCCTGCATACCACCGCTTAGCTGCCACGTCCATTTTCTCTGTCCTACACGTCGGTCGCTGGCGAGTACCGACTTCGGTCGCTGATTGGTGGACCATTTAGGCAAACTAGACGTGCGTCTAACAACTAACGTTCGTTATCAGCCTCTTCGATGAAGTCTCTTCTTTCACTGTTTCCGAAGTAACGTATTTGTGAACTGAGTAATAATCATTACTAGTTCCTTCATATTAGCAAATGGCACAACAAGGGAAAGGGACGACAGTGCAATGAACTCAAAATTCATAGTTCATATCTGTGCCAGATAGGGTGTTTTACCAGCACTAAAATGAGACCAATTGCCATTCCCTGAAGACAGTCAAGCGGCACTGAACAATATAAAAGCGCCGGGCAGCCAATTGAATTCATTCGAACACATCCGTGCTAATGAGTAATATTTCAGCAAGGTAGCGCGTCATCTCACTTCATAGAATCAACAAAACCGTGACTTCCTCCCAAACAACTGCAGCAATACATCAGTCAACTTAATTTTGTAAAGTTGTATGCATCCAGACTAGAGAAGCTAGTAGCGTAAACAGACGAAAGCAACCTCTGAGTCCTTTGAAAAAGAGTTCTACGGGGGCAGATTCAAGGGGAACGGTCTCTCCTTGCCTGTCCATTGGTATCCTCAACGGCAGGTCTACTTTTTGTTTATTGGAACTTACGGATTCCACTGGCCAAAATCCCCGTTTTAACAACTTAGACACCGAGGAAGTCCGACAAACGGCTATTTGTTCCATGGGTCTAAGGACCGGAATGGAGGTCGATCTAAACGCATGCACAGCATCCATAGGGTACGACATTTTGCTTTGAATTACTGCCTACATGTTTTCAGTTTCGAGAAGTCCCCACTGGTGGCATTGAATATCCACAATTATTCTTCCTCCCTCCTCCCCCAAGGATGCGGGGAGTGAACTTAGAAAATTGCCGCTATCACCGCATACATTTTTTCTCTTACATACTATCATGATAGTTATAGTAATGTACATTATTAATTCACCAGAAGAGGCCGTCCCAATTATCTTCACGCCGTCACCGCCTCATATGAAGTAGCTTCGTAAAACTGAATAGGGGACAGGCAAATTAATGTAACGGTGGATATCCAGACCTCCTTGCACCGGCTTAGAGATTGTAGGCCGTGGTGATAATCACATGTTAGGGCGGCTGCAAAGACGCCTGAATATCCACCGACAGCTCAACCAATAGCTATACTAATCAGCCTGCCCCCTATTTGGTTTTACGGATCATTTTCACAGGCGACAGTGACAGAATGAGGCAATGGGGACTCCAATTATTTCCGCAGTCAACAAGGGTGAGGGCGACGCTAGTCACGTTAAAACGTTAATCCGATGCAGCCCACAGTCAGTCAATTAGGGCCATGCACAGAGAGCTGTGTGAACGACTTTCCAGTGTCTGAGGATGGGCAAATGAATTCTCTACTCGAAACGCCAAGCCTCCTTCAGACTTCCCCTGATGGACGCCTCCTTTTGACATGCCACCTGGGAATCGCATTCCCGTTGCTATCGACGCTATTAATCATTCCAATGACAACGGCCTTACGTATGTTTTACCACAGGTCTTATTTTTTTGAAGGAATCACCAGTAGCCAGGGGAATTGGTCGCCGTTTTTGATGAGGAAGCCTTTTAATGAACGATGAAGGAGAACTCTATCCTTGTATATATTTCACACACCGATTTCTTTCCCTTGCACATGATCAATAAACTGTCGTTTCTCACAATTGTCTGTCCACTCTCTTATGTCATGTGATAGTGAGCGCTACGTTGGTTGTCCGATTGTGTGTGTTGTGTGTAGTGGCGGACTGGTGGGCTGAGAGCCAGGCTGTCACGGCCCCTTTTCAAGCGATCTGTGGCACTCTCATGCATGTGAGGAGAGTGTGTGTGCTTTGTTGGTAGTGCCTCTCAGTCGACGACTGTTTGGTTACCCAACCTTGAAAGGGTGATGGCCCAGGCTAAATGCAGGACCATGTGTTATCCCTCTAGGTCAAAAGGTCTGAAAGCGTGTGCTGTGCCAGTATCAGCAAACCATGGCCCTCGCAGCCAGATATGCGCTCAGTTCCCTGACATCTGGTTTCCTGCCGGTAAATGCGCTTGCTCTACCGCTGGGTATACAGGTGGTGGGCTTGACTGTCCAGTCATCATCCTTGTCCTTCTGACCCCTGCTGGGGTGTTGTTGTTGGTGAAAAATCCTGATCCAGTGTATGTTGTGGACCAGGGAGTGTTGTGGCACGCATAGGTGCGGGTCCGGTCGTGTCCGCCACTCGCGTCCTCGCCCGCCTTCAATCTTCTTGACCCAGACTTGACACTGGGTCCGGGGTGGGGGAGGAGAAGAGAGTGCGGTAGACGCTGCGCAAATATACACTCACTGGCAGTTCGACCATCGGTTTCGATGATGTCCGCCGTGTGCCCCAGTTGCAGCAGCAATGGGAGCAGGGACGGTAACTTACGCAGGGGTTTATAGTGCCAGTAGACTTGCGTAGAATCTACCTACACTCTCTCCTCCCTCGTCCGAGCCCGGTGTCAAGACAGAGTCAAGAAGACCGGAGACGAGAGAGGCCGCAGGTGGATGGCTCGGACGGATCCTCACCTTGGCGTTCAACCACACCCCCTGGTCCACACAACAATAACCAGGATTTGAACCAACACAACATAGATTTGGAGGCTGGCACGGCCGAAGCCGCACCTGGGCGTGCCGCCAACGCCTGGCTCGGATCCCACACTGTGGTGGGAATGCCATAAAGGCCACATTAAAAAGGAGCCATTGCAGCCTGACTCTCAGACCGCCTCCCGTCGAGGAGGAGGTCCAAGATACCCCGTCAGTTGGCAACCTTCCAAGCCACGGCTTTTAACGCACCGTGATAGCTTCAAGCGCGTCAGATTGTTTATAGTGAGGAGAAAGTGCGCCGAGTCGTCGATCTCACTCTCCCTTCCCACTCCCACACCCCAGCCGCTGTCCGAGCCGGTCAGCAGACTGGAGTGGGGAATGGGCGCGGTGGCTGTCATGGTCGACTGACCATGACTGCGGGCGCCACGGCACGACCTGGCCCCCCATGCACACAACACCAGGATTTCACACAACGGGGGTTGAACGGCGTGTCTCTCACTTGCGTGAGAGTGCCATGGAAGGTGCTAATTCATCCCGTTCCCAGCCCACCAGTCCGCCACTACACAACACATACACACAACGTGACGAACTGCGTGAACCGAGAGCGGGCGTCAATCAGCAACCTTCCTATCCACGACACTTGACGTGTCGGGATAGTCTCGGACTCAAGTCACTCGTGCAGCCGAGGCCGCATGGGGACCGAGTCGAGATGCACACTTCCCACTTGCGTGGGAGGTGGCAGTTGGGTGCATGAGGTGTGTGAGAGTTGATTTCTGGTGGGGTGAAGGTGGTGGTGAAGGAGGTAGAGAGTGAGTGAATGTGTGGTGTGGCCGGCGGTTGTCTACCGCAGGTCGTCGTGGATGCGCATGTGGCCGAATAGGCCCATGCGATGCCTGAAAGTGCGAGGGCAGTGTGGGCAGTTGAGACGAGCTTGGTGGGTATAGGTGGGTGCTCCAGGCACTGGTTCGCCAGTCTCTGTGCGATGGATTCGCAAGTGACCGACCAGGCCGATGTGTGAGGTGAATGTGCGTGGACAATGTGGGCATGAAAAGTCGGCGGTGTCAGTGTCAGCTACAGAGGAGGCGGTGGTGGTGGCGCAGACGGATGGAGCGAGGGTGGGGGTGTGAACGGTGGATGTGGTGGGTGTGTCGGGAGTGCGGTCAAGGCCGCTCTCGTGGATGCGCATGTGGCCGAATAGACCCATGCGATGCCTGAAGGTGCGAGGGCAGTGGAGGCGAGTGCGGTGGGTGTAGGTTGGTGCCCCACGCACTGGTTCGCCAGGCTCTGTGCGATGGATTCGCAAGTGACCGACCAGGCCGATGTGTGAGGTGAAGGTACGGTCGCAGTGAGGGCAGGTGTAGTCGTGATCCTCATCCCTGGAGTCGGGGGAGGTGGTGGTAGTGTCGGTTGCTGTGCGCGGGACAGTCGCCTGAGCGGCCGCCGTTGAAGCAGTGGGCGAGGAGGAGGAGGAGGAGGAGGAGGAGGAGGATGATGGAAGTGGTGGGTCAGAATAATTGTCAGGGTTAGTTGGCGGCGGAGAGGAGGAGGAGGAAGAGGCAGGCGGGGGGACGATGGTTGGTGCCGTTCGAGAGGCGCAGTTAATCCGAAGATGTCCAACAAGTCCGATTCGAGCCCGAAATGTCCGTTGACATCGAGGACACGTTGGAAGCAGTTGTGCGGCGGCGTTGCTTACTGGGCGAAGTTGTGATTTGCGAGCTCACTCACTCACTATAGACTAATTCACGTTCATGCCACCGTGCCTGCTGCACCTTGTTGTGTAGCACACGGTGGACATCGTCAGAATCTACGGTCGAACTGTCGGTTGTCCGATTGCGTACTTACATGTGCCGATTATCGTTGGTTTGCTTTCGCCGAGGCATGGAGGACTCGGTGACACATTTAAGGATACTGCGACGGCCGATAGTTTAAGAACCTGAGACTATAATTGGCGAGATCGAAAAGGAATAGAGAACCACTTAGCACATTTTTTCGGACGATGTGATCAGGCGTGGCTGAAAATTTTGAATGTGTAATTTAAAAATAAAGCGAATTCCCCCCTCTTTCTCTCTCTCTCTCGTCATGTCGATTGATACGCCAGACAGCCAGGTCTGGCCTCGTCATAGCCTCCTCTGGCCACAACGGCGAGGCGCGGCCAGCCGAGGCTGGAGCTGGCAGGGAATCTCTTGTGCAAATGTAGGAATTTTGTCAAAACGATGCTTCTCGCTCGAGGAGAAAAATAAGTCTCCCAGGTGATAATTCTGACCCTGTGGTTCTGATTTCCTACATATGTAACTCAACAAAATAAAAGGCAGCCCTTTTTCGCGAAGTCCCGTCCACTTTTTTCCTAGTTGCCCCTTTTACAACCCTTCCCTGATAAAGGGGCATCTTCAAAAGGTTGGATTCTCAACTGCAAAAATGACGTTTCAAGTAGACATGAGGGACACCACTCAGAGGGTGGGCCGCGTTAAAAAGTACCTAATCCCAGTCTAGCCTCTACGAGCGTACCCCAAGAATGGTGGGAGGGAGGAGGAACCTCTTTGCTTAATAATAAGACTATCACCACTTCTGAGCGGGGAGATAGTTGCATGGAACTAATTTTTTGCCACTGTGCGCTTTTCTCGACCTGAAGGTTATGACTCCCACAAAGATATTAACGCTTACAGGCAGCCCTACTATTTACATACGCGCATTCCGATAACTAATTTCTCCTCCTTATATGTTTATTTCCAGCCTCAGATGTAGGCTTTGGGGGAAAGGCAGATTACCCGAGGATGGGGCCGATGAAGGGAAAAGGGGGGCCAGGCCGGAAGACCTCCTGCGTAGATCTGATAAAAGAAAAAATTGCCCTCGTCTGCTGATGAGGGCCCATCAGCTCCTCATCAAGCAATCGCTCTCACAGGCATGCAGAACTATTTGCCGGATTATTATGACGCTTTTGAACGGACACGCTTCCAGTTTGCTGGACAAAGTGTTTCCAACTATGACAAGTAGCATTCCAGCGCATCTGACCGGCGTTTTATTGTATGGTGCGCGGTCTGGAATTATCAGGACCTCGAAAGCCTTCTTATAATGTAGCTTGCAACTTCAATACTTCATTTCTGAAATGGGTGTTTCTTAAAACGGCTGAAATAATAACAGGAGAATCTTCCAGCCGTTTCATATGCAAAATACGGGGCTTCAAAGCGGACTGAAAATGCATAAAATGGCAAAAAGATTAAGGTCTGCTGCCTGAAATTCGTTATTTAAAGGGAAATATGACAGATGACTGATAAGAGGCAGAGGAAGAGTAAACTCCAGCAGTCGAGCTTGGTTACCTGGAGAATGAAATTTAATCAGGTAGTTAACTCTATGAGATTTGTCATAAATGTTTTTGTAAATACCTCCTGTTGTCATAATATAATTTTCAGGCAAAACCAACCTCAGACCCTTTTAATTTTTTAATCAGAGCGCTGCTTTAAAGTGCTTTTAACTTACACTCTTAACTCGCATTTGTAAACCTAGGACGCAACCAGATTTATCCGCACTACGAAATTATATGAAATTTCAGTCTATCGATGCAGCACTCGTCTTCTTTCCGAGATTCTTACGTTATTTCGAATATACTCAGTTGTGTAAAAACAACTTTTAAGATCCTTGCATGTTTTTGACTTGACGGAAAGAATCGAGAACTGAGAAAATCGACAACCTCTGAGAAATATGCGGCGTTTTTCAAACGGATAGATCAGTTTTTAGCATTGAGGACTCCTGTTACAGTTTTATTGAGAGAACAAGTCTCCAGTGGCAAAATTTGTGAAGTTTATTCTGATTAAGTGTGTCCGACGCAAGAAATAGTCCAAAGAAAAAGGTTACTTAAAATTGGATGTTAAGCGCACCGACTACGACTGGGTAAGGCCTAATATTTCACTCAAGCAGCACTCACAAAAAGAGTCAGTAACTGGCAAATAGAGATTCAAAGGTCCATTAGAGCCAGTGATTGGTTTTCTTGCTAAATTAAGTTAAAATTTAACCTACTGTTATCTTCCATAAGCACCTAGGGCAGGGAAAATCATAATCAAAATACAGGCGGCAAGGTGCTCGAGTTCGGTGTGAGTAAAACGAGCCTTCATAATCACTAAGATGTCAGCATTTTTCAACTGTAACGCAAACAATGGAGACAGGACCTAGATACAAATGGTGAAGAGGCGTCAGTTGGTGAATCAAGAAGGGGCGGATTAGTCCGAAGAAATCTCATCACAGATAAAGCCTGGCCTACCGCACTTCCCAAAGATAAGGTTAAAAACCGCGATTGGAAGTTAAGAAGACCAGTAAAAGCAACTTAAAATTTTTAAGCTGTCCTAAACTGGTAGAAGAGGATGCAACGACATCTTTCCCTAATTTACTAAGCATTCCAAATTTTGACCGATTGTCTTTGTGCACCTAACTCTCTTAGACGGCTATAATTTCATTTTTTTAGTTCTATGAACAGTGAATGTTTTAGGTCGGTTGGTGGAAATCAGCATGGGCTTCAGTTAATTTCCGTGATGTTTAGCCTTTTGAAATTACAAATCCGGTGGTTATATGAATTCCAGCATTTCGTTATGAAGGCGGACTTCTCAGGACGCCTGACTATGTAAACAACATGTCTGCACACGTGCGTGTCGTCCTTACCCATCCACTGTTTCGCAAAGCATATCACATAAACATTACATGATGATCGGTCTTTTGACTGTGTACTGGAGTCACGACTGAAGTGAAGTGGATTTATCTGCGGAGATTCTGCTGTAGCACATTGTCAACTTTCTAACCGTTCTGTATCATCACGCACAAATAGGTGATAGGGGACCTGAAAGTAGAACTAAGTCATGGTTCTGAAAAGTGACGCACAAATGAAAACCAACGAAGATTTAGAAATGGGAGAAAGATCAAATAGAGATATTTTAACAGGCGGGATCTAAGAACCACAAGACGACGAGAGACGGAACAATAGTTGAGCTTCCAACAACCCATTCTGTTTCCGGCCTTCTCTCCAGGTAAAACAAGCAGCCCCTTGTCGTTCCAAGCATTCGGTCCATCTGGCCCCATCGCGACCCCGTCGGATAGGGCGTTCAAAGTCGAATAAAATATGGCGAAGTACCTAAGGAGTCTATGCACAATATTCATGGATATTACACTGCCTCTCCTTCAAAAATAGTTGGTATCGAGGTCAGGATGTGGGTCGTGGTGGGCAATTGGCTTGAGTTAGTTATGGTGATCCGAGATAAATCCTTCGTGGATCGCGGAGTGCGAACGTGGTGGCGAGTGGTTGATGAACAATGGCGCATAGACGTTGTTACAGCCAATGGAAGTTGGGAGCAAACCAGACAGCCGCCCGCGGCCTAGATAAGAATTATGGGTTGGCAACAAGGTGCTCCCGACTAGATCGGCGGCGGTCGTAACGAATTTTCTGTTGTTGGCAAGCGAGCCCGTAAACTGTAACGAGTCTTCCCTTGACGACTCCGAAGCAATCCACAATACAAATAGCTTCAGCAGGAATTAACGGGAGTGGGTGGATATCCGCAGGAAATCTCAGTTCGCGAAAGAGCTGCAACAACGCGGAGGAAAATCCGATCGAACTGAGCACGACGACTCGGTATGTTAGGAAGCAATGGAGCTTATAATTGTTCAGGGCATAGGACGATTCGTGATTGAAAAAGTCATATAGACTTCGCCTGAACGTTCGTCTCGTCCGCAAAACTGGCCCAATCAACATCGGATAATGAGGAGTGGTCGTTATTTTGTGTATCTCATGGAACACAGCTCAGTCAGAAAATGGGTCTCGAACGTCGTGATCGATCGGAGTCTGCTACTGCAGACGCCCTATAACGTTTAATGCACCTGCTGACGATGGACGCTGTTGGAAGGGTTTCACCTTGCACCACTGCTTAAAGTAGTCAATAGGCACGAGTATGAAACGATTACTGTGATAACTGGCAAGTAGTTTTCCGAACATACTCCAATCCTGCGGCAGGGTGTGTCTACATAGGTAGAGCGTACGTCGTCCGCGGTGCCGAGATCGACGACTGAATCTAAGCGCAGATCTGATACGTCCTACAGTAGGACACAGCATAATGAATCGTCGATCACGAAAAAAAATATGCGAAAACCTGCCTCTGCGCTCCCGCTTTGATAGCACGCGTCGTTTACTGTGTCTCGTAACTCGATCGTTACACTGGCACCTTCTGGACAATGTCCCCGTCCGGAGGCTAGATTAGCTAGAGGCTATGGTGACAAATGTGATCACGGATGCCGATGGATGAACCGACCATCGCGCGTCATATCCCAGATGAGGATTCGCCTACGGCCTCGCTGGAGACTCCCAGGTAGGTTGAATATTGCCTTGTTGTCTTTGCCCGCACACCATCTCTACTTCAACAATGAGCTAGCTCAACGTCTAGCCTGCGTTCCAGTCGCTACCGCCGCAGACGAGAATGCCTCCGTGTAAAACTGATGGTGTCAACTGAGGGACACGGTCCAGTCGACCGTCCTGACTGTTCCTGGTCGCGCACTTCGCCAACATCAGGACTGGTTCGACGGCAATGATGCCGCCATCAGCAACCTACTCGCCGAGAATAACCGACTGCACAAAGCCTACTCCAATCACCCTTCTGACGACAACAAAGCAGCTTTCTACCATAGTCGTCGCCTTACACAACAGCGGCTGTGGGAGATACAGGACGCCTGGACGGCTCGCAAGACCAGGGAGATCCAAGGGTACGCGGACCTCAACGAATGGAAGAACTTCATCGTCGTGATCACGGCTGTTCACGGTGTTGCAGCCAAAGGAATTGCCTCTCTTCTCACCGCCGACGGCAGTACCCTACTCACTGAAAGGACACAAATTCTACAGCGACTGGTCGAACATTTCAGAGGCGTCCTCAACCGTCCCTCCACCCACTCCGACTCCGCCATCGCCCGTCCACCTCAAGTGGAGTCTACGAAATGGACAGTCAGGGTTTGGGTCAAAGACGGAGAGCTGGTTAGAAGCTGAGGATGGAGGAGATCCTTTGACGGTGAGGATATTTGCGCGATCATGGAGGCGAAGTTGTCTGCAATCCACCAGAAGATCAAAGGCGGCCAAAAAATCAACACCAAGGATAGCGGTGGGAACATCAGCAACCACACATATCCAGGGGAATAATCGCCGGAGGCCAATATCCAGAGAGAGGAATCGAAATCCAAAGGTTGTAAAGGGGGATGAGTTTACGGCTTGAAGGTAAAGACCATGGTTTGGGCAACGTCGGTCGGCTGGCGTGGGAGGGATAACACTAATTTGAGCGCCAGTGTCGACTAAAAAATGCTTGCCGCTCGTGTTATCACTCGCGTAAAATGTGCGACCCGTAGAGTTGCCAGAGAGCTCGGCCGCATTTACTCTCCGGCCAAGGAGTTTCCCTGCGTGGACTTGAAGGAGCAGGGTGGGACACAGCGCTGTGCCTTGTCGCCATAGCTGACATGATACCAACATAGGTTGGCGGTCCTGGGGCGAGAGCGGGAACGACGACGGTCACGGCTGAAGGAACGTTGAGAAGGACCGGGAGATCGGCGCAGCTGCAAAGCGGCAACAGTCGCTGACAGCTGGGCAGTCTGTGTCTTTAGTTCAGCCAGGTCAGAGGTGGACACGTTGAGAGGCTGGGACACCTGAGCAATCGTGGGAAATGACAAACAATCAACCTCCATCATACGGTCAGCCATCTACGCTAACTTTGATATTTCTAGGTCGTCGGAGCCAGAGGCCAAGATTGTTTGTACCGACGTCGGCAGACGTCCTAAGAACATCTCTTTAAAGAACTTGTCGTCGATTTTAATGTTCCCAGCCAGAGAACGCATACGATGCAAGAGTTCCGACGGCTTGCGATCACCTAAGGCCTCCTCTTTTACTAGCGCGTGATAACGCTGCCGATCGGAGACCGATGTCAGGCGAAGAAGTTCAGCCTTTAACTTGGTGTAGGGAGCATCCGTCGGGGGATCTCTCAGAAGCGTCTGCACTTGAGAAAGAATGGTGGGAGGGAGGGCTTTGACCAACTTATAATACTTGTCGGTTTCACGTGTTATTTTGGCGGAGTGAAAAGTCGCCCCAATACGGAAAAAATAAAGCTCTGGTGCATGTTGCCAAAAGTCTGGGAGAGAAGAAACAAGTCCACTGAGAGAAGTAGTGGGATCGTTGGAATTCGTAGAGGTCATGATTGTAGAAAGGAAGAAGGCAAACGGGCGGTATGCAAATAGAAAGTCAACAAACTAAAGGTATAAGCGTGAACGTCAACGGGTCACCACTGTAGCGAGCGCTAAAGACAGAACCGCCAATCCCAGACTATGAATATCAGGATAAGACCAGAGTTATGAAAGAATTAACAATCAAAAGTCAAACGACCTGACAATCCCACTCATGCCAAGCGCGTCGCGTCGAGTTCTGTTCCTTCCATTCAGTTAAACCACCAGTAAGTTCAATAATGAGGAACAGGTAGGGAAAGGTAAGATAGTATGGCGCCTCGGCACAGATCAACCCGACTAACTGATATGGGTTCACTTGGAACCGACTGACCTGGAGGTGGATAATGAAGACAGCCGCTGCGATCTATGATGACAACCACTTCCTCGCTGCCAAAGCCAAACGCGAAGCCCGTAACTTTCATCTGCCCCCCTCGCAGGGCCAACAACCAACCGTCCGCGACCTGCCCACGATGCCGGCAGACGTTCCGGACATCAGTCGGTTTCATTGGACATCTTCCTACCAACTGCAGCACCCGGAAGACATCGGCTGATATCCAACCATCCGTCTCTGCCTCCTCCCATGGCTGCAGCCAACACTGACCGCACTCATGAACCCCACACTGCCATCCTCCTCTGTCGCCTCAACATCCGATGCGACGGCTCATGCATCCACCACCACTACACGCAACCCTAAAACACCGACAAACATCAAGCGCACCACCGCCAACACCAGCTATGTGGACCCGGTCCATACCCGTCCTCATTGCGACCGCACTTTCACCTCACCCATCAGCCTGGTCGGTCACTTGCAAGTTCATCGCGCAAATATTGGTGAACCAGTGCCTGGAACATCCACATACACTGGTCGCATCCGCCTCAACTATCCTCACTGCACTCTCACATTCATCCAACGCATGGGTCTTCTTGGGCACATGCGCACCCACAAGAGCGGAAATCACCACCGTCTCGAAACACCTAGCACATCCGGCACATCCACCATGCCTAGCCCAACCCACACACCGCGGCCCACCAGGTCCACCATAAGCAGCTCCTGCACTGCCACCCTCTCTGAAACCGACGCTAACACCGCCAACTTTCCCTGTCCACACTGTCCCCATACACTTAATTCAGTGGTCGGCCATTTACGAATCCATCGCACATAGACTGGTGAATAAGTGCCTGGAGCATCTGCATACACTCGCCGCATCCGCCTCAACTGCCCTTGACAGTTCGACCGTCGATTTCGACGATGTCCACCGTGTGCCCCACAGCTGCGGCAGCGGTGGGAGCAGGGACGGTGACTTACGCAGGGGTTTATAGTGCCAGTAGACTTGCGTAGAATCTACCTACACTCTCTCCTCCCTCGTCCGAGCCCGGTGTCAAGACAGAGTCAAGAAGACCGGAGACGAGAGAGGCCGCAGGTGGATGGCTCGGACGGATC